GTTAAACCCTTGTGCCAGGGGTTCCGGTCCTACACCAGACTTTGACCATAGAGTTTTAAAAGAGGTTTAGCCTATTGTCAATCCCCGGCGCGCAGGGGCAACGCTGTCCGTACAAATTCCAGGGGGATAAGCTAATGCTGGTGGGGGGGGGGGGAGGGTGGTACAAAGGGAGACATTGATCTGGGGGCCCTTGGGAGTGAAACCAAGAATGGGGTTTCCAAATTTCACCCCAGCCCACCATTTGATTTTTAATGAGCGAGGGTGTTTTAGGGGGGGGGGGGGGGGGGCGCCACGTACCGCTAACTGCGCCACAAAACAGGCGCAGGGGAGTGTTTTGAACGGGTATGAAAAGGCGCAAGTTGTAGCCCAATCCCTAAAGCGCCAGACCTTTCCGGTCCGGTACCCCCACCCACCCCTGTTGCGCACTGCGCCAGAGCCGCGTGCTGGAGACCTAAGTGCGGGGCGCCTGCCCAGTGGGGTAGGAGATGGGGGGCTGTGATGAGTGCATTGTGTGTGTGGCGAAGCAGGCCAACGATGTGTGGGGATTTGTGCCACTAACACGGTCCCGGGTGGATTCTCACTCGCATCCCCACGTCTTTCCCTGTATCAATACCAGTTCCTCAATCTGGTAGATTACAGCCCCGCCCTTCTCTACATTGGCAAAATTGTGCAGAGATGTTGCCCATCCTTTGGCGGCTCAAGAGGGAGGTCTGGGCATGCTCAGTAATTAGGATGGGTTTGGGTTAAAAGAGGCTGTTTGCTGCAGGGTCATCACGCTGGCCCAGGGATTCTGTCCCATCGTCAGCCCGTGCCCCTGGAAGGATTAAATGGGGATACTTCCACCCCACCCCCCAGTTGGGAAAGGAGTTAAATTTGGAGGACTGCCGGTTACAGTTTTAGGTTGAGTCCATCATGATGGGTGTAGGGAGAGGAGTCTTCGGATGAGAAGGGGAGGAAGAGCAAAGAGGAATACTGTGAGGGCTGAGAGACCCAGAAGCTGGCATTCGGACTTCAAACCAGATGTGCTTTCCATTTGAATAAAGTGCTTCCACACGAATGGCATCATTTCCTACTCACCGCAGCCCCGGAAGATGAGTGTGATGAGTGCGCTGAGTGCTTTACCATCACTGTTTTCCAGGGTAGGAGACTGAGATTTAGAGAGATTGAGGCGCTTTGCCCAGGGTCACTATATAATTCAATGATCCAACAAGCCCAGTGGGGATCTTCCACCTGAAAGTCTGGTTCCTTTTCCAACTAATTCTATCTTTATGTTAGAATATACAAGATTTCCCCTTTTCTTCATAACCAAATATTTCAATCCGTGTAGCAAGGACCATGGTTCAGTTGCCATCTTTGTATTTGAAGGTCGCCTTGCAGGGAGAGATTGCCTTTGGAGAAAGAAGCCACCCAGAGTATCCTAACCTCAGGAAAGCAGTTACTACGTACACCATGAAGATATTTCTTCCTGGGCATTGGATGCCTTTTTATATCTCATGTGTCCTTGAAGTATTACAATGAAGAGGAAGTCACCCTTGTACATTAGCAGGGCCTAGAGAAGTCACTGGACTCAAGTTGCTGGGCCAGGATGTGATCCTTCTCTTTGTCCTCCTTGCCCTGGGGCACGCACCATGCCTTCCAAGCCCTCCAGAAGGGACTGGGGAAAGGTGCCCGCAGCAGGAGCAGCTGCCTCGATGGTTACAAGTTGGCATCTGTGGTATATAAAGCCCGCGAGGCGTGATGGGGGTTTTCAGGCCTGGGGAGGAGTGGTCAGGGCCCCAACACCCACCCCGCAGCAGTAAGTGGAGTTGGTAGGCACTCTTCCCCTTTCACATTACCCATTCTCCACTGGTTCTCCATATCCTTCCTCTCTTTTCCTTTTTCTTCAAATGACCCCCATTCAAGTTCAAATGCTACGAAGAAAGTGTCATGTTAGTAACTTAACATCCATAGCAAAAGTAACACCTCCTTTTGCATTTGCAAAGCCTGCCCAGACATAACAAAAGAGAATGAGTTCATAATTCCAGGTTTAACTTACTCAGCCCTGGGATTTTTTTGAAATATATTTTTATTGATTTCAGAGAAAGGAAGGGAGAAGGAGAGAGAGATAGAAGCATCAATGATGAGTGAGAATCATTGATAGGCTGCCTCCTGCACAGCCCCCACTGGGGATCAAACCTGCAACCCAGGCATGTGCCCTGACCGGGAATCGAACCATGACCTCCTGGTTCATAGGTCGACACTCAATCACAGAGCCACACTGGCCAAGCTCGGCCCTGAGATTTTTAAAAATTATTAGGCCTATATTAAATTGTTATGTCTATATTATCATATTAAAGTGTATTATATGCTATATTGTTATACTGATATTGGTTTTAAATGTTAGAGTGATTTCTAATTGTATTTTTTAATCAAAGAAGTGAAGTAACTATATTGTTTAGTAGATTTAATTACATTGTGAAGGATTGTCATATTTTTAGTAAGTGCGTTAACAGTCTTTATTATTGGATATTATTGAGCAATGAAAACACAGCATTACTATTTATGTGTAACAGGACAGCTTGGCTTGGCTGGAGCTAAGAAGGACCCAGACATGAACATTGTGTAGAGTTGGGTGACATCTTCCTGTGCTAGAAGCTGAATAAACAAGCTTCGTGACTCTCACAGAACATCTGGAATGTAAAAACAGGTATCTGGCCATCTCCTGACTTCATTCTTCACGGGGGAAGGATCTGGAGTCCTGGCCACAACTGGGCTCAGACATCAATTGACATGTCTGATGAGTGAATGGCGGGGAAGCCAGATTGCAGGAGGGTCCCCAAGAGGGAGAAAAAGTCACTATCAGCAGAGACCTGACCGTGGGGTAGACACAAATACAATGTGGGGTAGAGCCCCATCTGCCCTCACTTCTGTCCCTAATGAGTGTGGGTGCTTCCTGGGAAGGAGAGGGCTGTGTGGTAACTGACCATTGTTTCACTAGGAGTCCAGGCCCTCTGCTGTGGAACGTCCCTCCAGGAGTCCTGGGTGCCGCGTGGAGGCGTTTCCACACTGACTAGAGAGAGGTGAGGCGACAGAGACCGGGAGAGTGTGAAGCAGCTCTCGCACGTGCCTCCGTTGGTCAGAGAAGGGTCAACACCACCACAGTCTGCTAGCATCTGGAGAGACACCGCAGCCGGGGAACTACAGAGCCACTGGCAGTGGCGCTGTCCTCACTGAGACACTAACCACCCACCTGGGGTCAGGTCTAGAGCTATAACGGGAAGTGCTGAGTTCCTGCCACCTCAGCAGGAACTGGGCAAGGAAGGGTTACTGGTCCAGAAGACTTCGGGCTGCTGTTGGAGGGACCTGACCGGAAACCCCTTCCCTGGTGGGTTGTGGGTTCGGGAGTTGATCCAGGATACTTGAAATCCTAAGGGAGTGCCAACCTGCACTGCAAATTCATTGTACCCTAGAGTTAGAGCCAATAGATACTCGTGAGGATGGCACTGGCGCTGTTGGAGGACTGGTGCCGGCTGATGAGTGTGGATGATCAGAAATCCCTGATGGTGATGGGGATCCCAGTGGAGTGTGAGGAGGCGGAGATCCAGGAGGTTCTCCAGGAGACGTTAAAGTCTCTGGGCCGGTACCGGCTGCTCGGCAAGATATTCAGGAAGCAGGAGAATGCCAGCGCCGTCTTATTAGAGCTCCTGGGGGACACGGATGTCTCGGAGATCCCCAGTGAGGTTCAGGGGAGGGGGGGCGTCTGGAAGGTGGTCTTTAAGACCCCCAACCAGGACGCTGAATTTCTTGAAAGGCTGCACCTCTTTCTAGAAAAAGAGGGGCAGACAGTCTCGGGTATGTTCCGAGCCCTTGGGCATGAGGGCGTGTCTCCAGCCGCAGTGCCCTGCGTGTCGCCAGAGTTGTTGGCCCAGGTGGTGGGGCAGGCAGTAGCACATGCCCCGCAGCCCCTGCTGCCCATGCGATACCGGAAGCTGCGGGTGTTCTCGGGCAGTGCTGTGCCCGCCCCCGAGGAGGAGCCCTTTGAAATCTGGTTGGAACAGGCCACTGAGATCGTCAAAGAGTGGCCGGTAGCAGAGGCAGAAAAGAAAAGGTGGCTGATGGAAAGCCTGCGCGGCCCCGCCCTGGACCTCCTGCGCATAGTGCAGGCAGACAATCCTTCTGTGAGTGTGGACGAGTGTCTGGAGGCATTCAAGCAAGTGTTTGGGAGCCTGGAGAGCCGCCGGACCTCCCAGGTGAGATACCTGAAGACCTATCAGGAGGAAGGAGAGAAGATCTCCGCCTACGTGCTGC